AGCTCAGAGACTATGGACAGACAGCTTGGGGGGTCAACAGAGAAAGACCTATGCTCTCTGCATCTGGGTGACAATTGTGTAGCATTGTCTTTTGTGGGGCCCATAGCAGTGGGACCACGACGTGTTCCTGATGTTATGAGCTGGCCTTTGGAACCTATTCCCTATGGTGGGATGCCTTGTTCAGCTTTGAGGCAGAGGGAGGAGACTGATCCTGCCTCAGCTTGACATCTATGCTTTGTTGACTCCTAAGGGAGGCCTTACCCCATCTCAATTGAGATGGAGGAGGAGCGGATGAGGGGTTAGGGAGGTGGGAGGAGGGCATGGAAGGAGGAGCAGAAGGAGAAGGAGAAACTGTGGTTGGTATATAAAATACATTTTTTAAAAAGATGAAAAAATTTGTTCTGAATCATGACCTACAAGGAAATATTACTTAGACATGGCTCTTTGTGGTAGATAATCTGATGATAACATGAGAATGTCTTCCTGACTGAGAATCCTAACAATGCTAAAGACTGCAAAAACTTCCAAACCATTTCCTCATCCTAGATCAAAGAATCATTAAGTAGGCTATCTTTTAAAGGGTAAGCCACAGCATCACAAGGAAATTTTGAAGGAATACTTGCTGAATTGAAAATGTATAAACCGTTTTTTCCTCAGATCCATTTCATCAGAATGGCTGTCGCCATGTCAGGAATGCTGAACATCATCAATAGACAGCATACATGGATCTCTAGAGTTAACCACAATGGAGCCAATTCCAGTAAGAGATGCCTATTAGTCCTGAAATGCTCTGAAAACTATGATACAAAAATTAGTTTACAATTTCAAATACCCGTTAATGTCAATAGATAGCTATTAATAGGCTGTAGACACAATCTGACAAGTAAATTTCACATCATCACATGGACACAGTTGTAAAAGCCACATCTTTAAAAGCTCTGCAGGAATGTAAGCCTCGTAACAGTAAAATGAACTTTTACAGGATTCTTGATAAAAAAACAAATTCCCTGACAATTAAGTCTATGAAAAGCTACTTTGTAATGGTGATCTTACTCAGAAAAACAAAACAACAGCCTTCAAGCTGCATCCATTCCTTTCCTAAGTGCTGAAGGAAGTCACTAGAATAATGCTTCCCTTTGTGATGATGCACAACATATTCATGAAATCACTGTCAGTGTCTCCAAAAAGAACTTTTTCACAGTTTACTCCTCTTAAATTCAGTGCTTTGCAGGGACTTTGCTCTGAGGAAATGTTCTACACAAGATGCATCAGGAACAGAGGATCAAAATGGCCAAATTGCTGCTGACTCATGGGTGTTTTCAAAGTTTCAACAAATGATGTCTAACTGTATGCTAAATGGTTAACGCCCTTCCCTTATGGTTACCAGTCCTATACTTATCTATAGTGCTACCACACTGAAATTATAGGTTGCTGTAAAAGGACATTACGGTAATAATATACTTTATGGTGGTATTCATTCGTGAACCTCTTAAACAAGTTTCAACATTTATGAATTGAATATTAACACAGTAAGCCCAGCTTCCATAGAGAAAACCAAAAGCCTTGATTTCCCCTGTGTATCAGTATTAAGTGTGCACCAAGGGGTATTTCATTGTTACTTATATCAAATAACACGTTGATGAAGTTATTTTAAAATAATAGCTTCCTTTGTTCTGTGTAGCAAGGGATTTAATATTAAAAGTGTATTGTGTAGTATATACTGTAAAACCATGGAGGAAATTTTAATAATTATGACATGAACTAAAATAAATTTAACTGTATCAAGATATTTATTATATATGTGTACTGTGACAAGTTTCATCACATCATGTTCAGGAGGTACTCTTAGAACTGTGTATTGAACCAACCAAAACTGACATGAAACTAACATAATATCCCAAGTTGAAAACTCTGATCTGTGATCAGCAAATGGCGAATAAACAGAAGAGGGTTCCGAGAGCCTGGTACAGAGTCAACATTGGGCAGTGTTTGTGCAGTGCCCAAACAGAGGGTCCCCATCCTAGATGCAGCTTCCTCTAATTCCTACTGAAAAAAGGCCAAAGGGTAGCATGGAAACCTGGAACTATAGCCACCGGATGGCATCCATCAACTAACTAAAAGACATATGGAGTTCAGCTATACCAAGTTTCTTAAATGGCAGGACTGTACTCTCAGTCCTTCAAAATTGGCCTTTGGATTTGCATACCCTAAGTCCTAACACCCAACAAACAAACATAAGATAATGTCTGTGAATCAGAAACAGAAGGGACAGGCTGCTGCCCAATTTTCTCTAAGGGTTCACAGCTCAGTCAGTAAAGTTTCTCACAAGCATGAAGATCTGAGTACAAACCCAAGCACCCATGCAAACAGGTAGGTGAGGTAGCATAGGATGATAATCCCAGTGCTGAGAAGGCAGAGGCAGGAAGACTCCTTGGCCTTACTGGCAACAGTGTCAAATACAATTGGTAAAATTAAGGCCAATGAAACCTAGGCTTTCAGAGGATGATACCTTATATTGCCCTCTGGGGTCTACGCACACACACACACACACACACACACACAAACACACAAACACACACAGGTACATATCAGGCATGATCTTTTTACAACAGTTGTATGAAAATGTAAGCTTTAAAAATTTCTCCAAATCAAAGGTTTTTACAAATTAATCACACTAATACATGAATCATAAATTATATGCAAATATATCACTGCTTCTTTTAAAATAACTTATTTCATAAATGCTTCTAGTTAATGTACTGTTTTCCATTGAAGTCACAAAATACTTGAAATTTTTATGGTAAAATTGTCTTCTATGTTAGAACACTTCCAACGACTTCCAAATTTTTCCTTCCTGTAAACACTTGCAAAAATGCATTTTTATTACACTTGTTTTTGGTTTTAGTGATATAACCAAGATAACTAAACTGATATTTAACATAATCCATAACCCAGACCCTAATAGTGGAAACATAGCCTTCAGGGTTTATTTTTTATTTTTTATTTTTTGGTCTTTTATGACCCTAAAACTGATGGGATAGTACTCAGAAAGTAAAACTCTAAGGCATCTATGGAGATCTAAGCATATGGATTTTCCCTAAATAGCTAATAAATCCATATTAGATGAGACTATCCCTTACATTAACTTCTCCAATATATGATACACATAGACACCACATATAGAGGCTGATAGTCAAAAATTATACCCAACAGAAATAAACTCATTGTCTTACAAGGAAATGTAGAAAATAACCATAGGAGCTAGCATTTCCTCAGTAAGCCCAGGACATACTTCTCAGTAGATTAACCAACTATGTCATATGCACACTGGCAGCCTCAAAGTTTTAAAAGTCAACTCACTCAGGGATGTGAAAGGGCTTGCCTATTAAGCAATCCTGAAACTAGGCAGTAGGAACCCAGAGCCCACAGCCCTTGACACTAGGCAGCACGGCCTAGTCCAGAGGAAAAAAGGTTTTTTACCTTTGAAAAGGATAGTTCAGAAGGAAGTTTCTAATCACTGACTGGTACTTTAGCTGAATGTCAGATACTATAAATAGTAAGAACTTAACTCTTAAAAACACACCTATTCTTAAAGCAACTGATTATGAAATCGTTTGAAGAACAGAAATGAGTATGTTCTTAAGAAATTTCACAGCCATTATAATATTTTTCCTTTCCAAATCAACCTAAGAGCATTTGAAAATCACACTAAAATAAATTAGCTGGATTATAAAAGGGGAGATTCTTGAAACACTGATAAATGAGCAATCTAAGTTTCCTAATACTTAGTGGGGAATATACACAAGAGACATTCTCCTGAAAATGTGACTTTTCAAAGGCACTGACATGTAGGTTCCTCAAAATGCTCTCATAAAAGTGTACAGCTTATGACAATTAACACTCTGTTGCTGTGAGTAGAAGGAAAATAGAGCCCAGCTGATAAGCTGGATTTATGGATGGAGTAACAAAAGCACTGTGAATACCAAAGGTAATTCCAAAGTGTAAAGACCTTGTCTCCCTTCCACTGGGAGGAGCTCTCCTGCAGAGGCACTCTTAGCCCTGAGCTCTAGACCCACAGGCAGCAAAGCAAGAAGACAGAAAGCTACACCTTGCCTCCTGCCCACACCACAGGACACATTTAGAATATATGTGACACTCTGGTCCTTTAGTTTGCTGATTCCCTGAGGAGCTGTGAGTCAAGTGAGGTCCCATGAGAGCTGTTCTTTTCACTCATCCACACTAGAGGAACAGAGTAGAAGCACCACAGGACACATCAAATACTAAGTGCTTAATTATTCTTGCCTAGGTCTCCCAGCTTAAAGACTAATTTTAAAATCCTACTAGATTGAGTGTTTTGGCTCATGCTGTGCAATGCAGGATAAGAGAACAATGTCCTAAGTGTCAGTTGGATACACCTTCAGGAGCTGGAACCCCAGCTTGATATCCCCGTGGTTACTGCCTTTCTAAATGCTTTGTTTTTGATATTTCTGCTTCTTAACTGACTTGCTCACGTTCTTTAAAAAGAATAATGTAACTGAGTCATGTCAGACTTAATATTACAACAGCAGAAAGTATAATATACTTCCTCAAAAAAATTCAGTCAGCAAATGGTTTCTGAACACCTGCTACATACAGGAATGACACCTGCAGACAAGCTTCTTGGGGAAAAAACAACGAACCAACCTTACGAATTTTTTATTAAGAAAATTTATTATTTACAACTTTTTCAGGAAAAAAAACTTAGCAAACTGTTGCTCTGCAACATATTTAGGTGTTGCAAGTCTGATTCTCAGTTGCAAGTAGATTTTTGTTCTCCATCTAATCAGCTTCAATTTATTCTACAAAATCCACATTTCCTTTAAAACAATGAATGACAACACACCTTTAAAAACAAAACGAAAACAACAACAACAACAAAATCTCTTCCTGTTTTGCCAAAATCTGCTCGTTCCCCTCTTTGGCATGGGCAAGCCTGCAAAGATCCCCTGGCACCCTCTCACCTGAAAAAGAGTTTGGAGAAAAAGCCGGCTTTCTCCAAAGGCGACTTCTGCATGATGTCTCCGTGGTGCACTGAGGTCTGTGTCTGGACAGATTCAGGTTGGACTCGACCTCTGAATATCCAGGACCCTGTCGATGCTTTTGGCTCTTCCGTTTTTCTCGGACCTGCGGTGATGTCATTTGCTTCCAATTCCCCCCAACCAACTGGGTCCCACACACCTCCCCTTCCCTCTGCCTTCTTCCCCCGCCTCCGCAGCCCAGGTTAAAAGCCAGCACTGCTTAGCCCAGCCCCAGTCCCTTCTCTCCACGCCCCAAGCCCGCCCTGTGCGCTCCTTCCTCCTGCGCGCCTTGCGCATGCCACCCGCGCCTCCTTCTCCTGGCTCTCACTCCCTGCACCCTCCAGCGCCCCCCACATCCCTACCTTCTGGCAGCGGCAGCATTGGCAAGTCAGTCAGCAGGTCCTGGAGAATAATGGCCAGTCTGCGGGACCTACAGTGCTTCTTAGGTGGGACCAAGGACCACTCATTGACCTCCTTGGCTCCCACGAGCCTTTCCTCTCCGTCTCTTCCTTCTCTTTCTCTCTCTTCTTCTCTTCTTTCAGTTCTTTCTTTTACTCCCTCTTCCCGGACATCTCTTTCTCCTTCTCCTCCTTCTCCAGTTTCTCCTTCATCTCTTTCTTCTTCTCTTTTTCTTGTTTCTTGTTCAACTTCAATTCTTTCTCCTCCTTGGTCTTTCTCTCCTCCTCCTCCGCCTTCCTCTCTTTCTTCTTGTTCATCTCTTTCTACTTCTTCACCCCTTTCTCCTCCGCTGCTGCCTTCATCTCTTTCTTTTTCTTCTCTTTCTCCCTCTTCTCTTCCCCCTCCTCCGCTGCTGCCTTCATCTCTTTCTCCGTCATCTCTTTCTCCTTCATCCTTTTCCCCCTTATCTCCTCTTTCTCCCTCTTCTCTTCCCCCTCCTCCGCTGCTGCCTTCATCTCTTTCTCCGTCATCTCTTTCTCCTTCATCCTTTTCCCCCTTATCTCCTCTTTCTCCCTCTTCTCTTCCCCCTCCTCCGCTGCTGCCTTCATCTGTTTCTCCGCCATCATCTCTTTCTCCTTCATCCTTTTCCCCCTTATCTTCTCTTTCTCCCTCTTCTCTCTCCACTCCTCCACTGCCTTCATCTCCTGCTTCGCTTTTTCCTCCTTCTCCTTCTCTCTCTCCTCCTCCTATCTCTGGAGCTTCTGGCTGAGTTAACTTTTCAAGATCCATTTTGAAGAGGAGATGAAAATGTGGCTCCTCAGAATCAAAGTACAGATGCAGAAAGGTTCAAAGTTCCACGGGAGTCAGAGGTGTCCCACCTCAGCAAGCCCTTCAAGAGCTGGACAAGACCTAGTTCCGTTGACTGAAGGCTCTAGGGTAGCTGTAGTGTCACAGACACCTATGAGGTATGTGTATGTCATAGACATATGTCACAATTCCTTGATATGTCATAATTATAGCAAAAACCCTACCAAGGAATGGAGAGCTACTGCTTCCCCCATGAGGCACATGTGTTATACACATGTATCACAATACCCTGATATGCTGTAATTATAGACAAAGTCCTTGAGGACAAAGGGAGCTATTGCTTTACCTGTTTCCAACTCAGAATGTGTTCAGCGTGTGTTGTTGTACTTCCTGTTTCAGAAGGCTAGAGACTGACAAGTGGACTGTCTAAATGACTGTCCTTTAGATTTCCTTGTCCTGCTAAGCAAAATATCTGACAGGAACCCAGAGTCACTGAATCAAAGGTATCCTATTCACCAAGAACTCACTGAGAGAAATGCCTGTGTCTTTAGCTCTCTGGGGGCTTTGGGAGTTTTCTGGGCTATGTGCCTTCCCCTTCCAAGCTTTTGGTGTGAGAATTTTGTGTCCATCATAAAAACCTGGTGGGTTTTAAAGGGTCAACACTTAAATTCCTGAACCCTATTTTGCCAAAACAAGTAAAATAGAGTTTGATTTTTTTTCTTTTATTGAAAATAGAATTTTCTTTTTAGCCAAGCAGTGGTGGCACTGGTCTCTGAGTTCGAGGTCAGCCTAGTCTACAGAGCAAGTTCCAGGAGAATCATGGCTTAAAAACCAAAACCAAACAAAAGCGAAAAAGAAAATAGTTTTTTTTTAACCCTCAGACATTATATACTGATTACTGCTTCACCTCCATCTTCTCCTCCCAGATCCTCTCCACATCCTCTTCTCTCTGGATCCACTCCATTTCTATCTCTTATTAGAAAACAAACATGCTTCTAAGGAACAATAATACAATATAGTAAAACAAAAACAAATACACTGGAGTTGGACAAAACAAACAGAAAAGAGCCCAAGAGAAGGAAGGCACAAGAAACAGAGACCCACTGTTTCCACACTCAGGAATCCCATTAAAGCACTAATGTAAAAGTCATAATTAATATACATGCAGAGGACCTGATACAGAACATGCAGGCACTGTGCAAGCTGCCTAGGTCTTTGTGAGTTCACATGAGCTCTGCTCCAGTTGATTTAGAGGCCCTTGTTTTCATGGTGTCTTCCTTTCCCTCAGGCTCTTACACTCTTTCTGCCTCCTCCTCTGCAGGGTTCCCTGAGGCCTGAGGGGAGGGATCTGATGAATATCCCATTTAGGACTGAGTGTTCCAAGGTTAGAGTCTGAGATTTAAAAAAAACAAATTTAATGCTCTGACCTGATTCTTGCCTCAGCATCTAAACACTGAGAGTATTTACTTGTGAATTATCTGTTTTGTTGACTTGTGGACATCCAACTACAACATAAACAAAATATGTATTTCATAATACCCCTAAACAAAAATGCACTTAAATTAATCATCGCCAAGAGACTTTACAAGCTTTACTTCCCAGATCTACATTATCCTTTTTCCTTATCTTAAAACAGTTATAAAGACATTTAATTTTTAGTATCCTGAATTTGATTACAAAACAAATAGCAAAAATAATAAAGTTCTTACAGACAGACACTAGGGGAAAGCTTCTAACCCAGTATTTTCAAGTACTATATTTGTTTTTTCCTCTCTTCATTATATCAAAAGTTGAAACTCAGTACTCAATATTGACTTTTTCTAGCTATGTAATTGAATTCACTCTATCCTTTCCCCACCCTCATCCCATTGTTCATGACTACTAGTGTGACCCATCGAATGTGACGCACAGATTCTGAAATCAATTTGTTATCAATTTCTCTTTGTTCTCACCAACATATGACTCTAGATAAAGAATTAAATTTCAAAGATTATCAAAGCTGCCCAAGCTATACAACTTCAGGAGATCTCGAGCTGCTTCCCCTAAAAGGACAAGTGAAAAGGTAATTTGAGTTCTTGCATTGTCCAGGGATCATTCATTCAGCATCCAAGTGCATACATGTTATTGTGCCTATTTTGCCATTTCCAGTTGATAAAGCATCCAACTGAATGAATGTCTATATTAGTGGACTGAGACTCAGGTGTGATCCCAAACATTTATCCCGTCAGTTTGAAGCATACTTCTAATCAAATCTTCCATCCCGTATTCACATTCTGTCACCACCACTTTCTTTCTCTTTACATTAGTTTCATGATGTCAAAACTACTACACCTGTTCAACAACAAGACTGGAAAGCAGAAAACCAAAGACCAAGAAGCCACTAGAGTTATGTATCTTTGATAAATGTTCTGTAAAATTATAATCCAGACTAAGAATGTATACACATGAACACAGAAACACCCTAGATCTTTATCACAAAACATCACATCTCAAACTTGTCTGGGCAGAAGATTTCAACAAAGTAGACATGTCCAAGTGAAATAATTAAGATATGATATCCAAAATTTGTATCTAGGTACCTACCTGATACAAAAGTGAAAATGCATCAGGAAAGTATTCAGATATAAGTAAGGTTGTAAATAAAACTCTAAATGAGAATCTCAAGGGAAATCAATGGATCAGTATGAACGTAAGAGGTAAGACACAGTGTCTTTTCTCTTCAAGATAATTAAATACCAGCTCATATCATAACAGTATTGAAATATCTTACTTTCATTAGAAATTTACTATATATATGGAGTACAATTACAAACATACAGCATGATTCACCTCATTTAACCTTTAGGACACATTCACGAACAGGTAGCTAATATCATGTACTCCAAGAGGAAGGACTTGAGGAACAAATATTATTAATTTCCAAATTAAGTCGAATGGCTGATAATAACAGAGGTGGCTGGGGTACAACTCAGTGGCAGAGAATTACTTAGCTGGTATGAGTCCTGGGACCAATCCACAGAGTGACCAGTCAGTAATAATGGAGGAAAATGGGATTTGAAGCTAAGCAGTCTTTCCTGAGCCCTGGAATTTAAAAATGACACCCTGGTTTGCAGAACAGACTGACACTTTAGGAAGAGCTGACCTTCAGTACAAATTAGTAACAAGCATTCTTGTGCCATACTTCTAAAGGCATGCTACGAAGAGAGGACTGCAAAAGGAGGAGAGGAAGGAACAGAGTGGGGAAATAGCTGAACAGAAGGAAAGGAGAATAAAAGGAATCCATATCTATTTGACACATGCTATATGCTCAGCAGTGTGCCAGGTGCTTTCTGCAAATGACCTTAGCAATATAAGCTCCTGTCATATGCTTCTCCACCAGCTAGAGAATGGCTGAAGTTCTTCCTATTAGAGGTTGACCAATCATGTTCAACATAATTTGACTGTATTCAAATCTTTCCTGAGAGAGCTTTGTAGCAATTGTAGATGCACTAAAATCTAGACAAGTAGAATAATTAAATGTCCTTTCATAGAAAGACAAGCCCCCAAAAGAGAGAAGGCAGACCTCTCATCAGCTTCACATGCACAGGATGCCTACACTTAAAAGCTCACCCAAGGCAGAAGGCAGGGGCAGTCACAGCTCCTCCCTGGCTTGCCACAAGGATAACTCACCATACAAGTGTATACTGCAGTCTTAGAAGTCTTACAAAGCTGTTTTTAGGCTATAAGGTACCCTGGTACACAGGCCAGATGGTCATCTTTTCTGCTTCCAAAGTCACATTTTGTCTGACAATCAACACTCAACACAAGTGTACACACAAACACATACAAGTGCACACACATGTCACCCATCCCCCCCATACACACACACTTGATATATACATAGAACTCTTCCATGTACCCTGCTTCTTTTAACCCATTTCTTCTCAGTGATGCAGCAAGAATGTACCCATAGTT